TTCTTCCTCTCTAATGATGACTGCTCTCTTTTCATAAAAATGCTCAGATTTCTTCTTTCTTAAATGAGACAAGAACAAATCAAGAAACCCAAACAAGCTCTAAACAACACCCTTAGCTCTGCAGTGTCCAGGGAGGCTCTAGTTTCCCTTGGTGATTTTAGAGACCCATCATATAAATGATGCCATGATGTTCTCCTGCATTTTCGACTGATTGAGAAGCAAGGCACGGAAGCCAACAAATGCAGATCTGTCCTGAGCAGCGCTTAGTGGGGAACAGGAAGGGGCGGGGAGGGGTCCCTCTGGGTTCCTGCTGCGCTGCTTGCTCCTGTTTAAGGTGTCCTCAGTTCTCGTCTGAAATGCTGCATCAGGCCCCCTATGACCTGTTGTCCACAAACTAGCCAGGGGCATCCTTCAGCACCGTAAACCAGGTCATGCCGGTCCCAGGCTTAACAGCCTTGAAGGCCTTCTGTCTTCGGAGAAAAGAAACTGCCTGCTCCCTCCCATGGCTTGGCTCTGGGACCTTAGGGACCTCATCTGCTCCCCTCTCAGCCAAGCTGCTCCCCATGACCCACCTCCTCTTCCGCTCTGGACCACCACCAGGCTGCCCTCTCCACCTGAGACATTCTCCCCCACCCACTTTTGTTTTTAAAGGTTAGACAACTGTTTATTGACAGCCTCCCCGCCCCATGCTCAAAGTCCCTAGGTCGCGGAGGGGAAGTTTGCTGATCCATGAGACCCATAAGGTGGCTGTCAGTGTCCTGTCCATATGGCGTGAACACAGCCGCCAATTCAGCTCTTCCTGTGGCGTTTTTATCTGCCACGTTCTCAGCCCTCTCTGTAACTCACCTACAGCATCTGATGTAACACTGGGCCACCAGCTGGCTGCCTTTTTGGTCCCATACGTGAGTGCCCATTTTGCCCGTCACCAGGGTCCCCAGAGAGGTCGAGGTGGCCATCCTGAACCTGGAAGAACTCTTGGCATTCGCACACTCCTCTGGCAGTGCCTGCCATCTACATGGCAGCAGCTACAGGCAGGTAGAAGGTAAAGGAAGCTGTCGAGTATGTGACAATAGATGTGTACCTCTTGTTAGTGAGTCTTCCGAGATCCATGTTGCCTTGGGGGGCTGGGATGAGGTCCAGGGTTTCGAGTACCTGTCTCTTCATAGAGCAGCCTTCCCTTATCATCCTGCCTGAGGAGCCGCCATCCCACCTCCTTCTTCGCAGGAATCCCTATTTGTCATCACCTAATCGATTATCTATTTGGTTATTGATTTCTGCCTCTCTTTCTAGAAAACTAGTCCCACATCAGGCTGCATTGGTCTCGCTCACTCCTGGATAGGCATAGAGCCTGCTACTGCTCAACAGTGTCTAATAAGTGACTGCGGAAAAATGAATGCTTACGGAGGAATGAATGCACAGTCTCCCTGCGTATCCCAGGCAACTCCCTTATCTATGAGCAGATGAATTTTTCTACAATACTGATCTGATCACATTCTTCTTCTTCGCATCTTTAGAAAGCCCCCGATTGTGTACAAAGGGGTGACAACCACGGGGGCCAGTTAGTCAATGGAAATGAGAGAAGGGGGGTGGGTGCACACCGGGGTGTTGGGAACGGTGGCCAAAAGCAGTGCCCAGGCAGGGTGGCCAGGACCTTTCTGCCACCTTGCGCCCTGGGCAGTGCACGGCCATGGTGGCCAGGGCATCTGATTTTTCTAAGGAAGTCAGAAATCTGGATTTTCTTGTGAAATCTCTGCTTTTATCATGCTGATAATTAACTCTTTTTAAAACCAGCTGAGTACGGACAAAATATCCTCTTGAATTCAGCCCCGGCCACCAGTTTTCAGGATAAGCCTGAGCACCTTCGCCAGCCTTAGCAGGCGCTTCGTGATCTGACTCCACTTTCAGTCCCAGCCCCTCCTCCCTGCCTTGGGTCCTCGGCCTAGATTCCCCGCCCTGCGCCCCACTCCGTCCTCCTGCTCATGTCTTCATATCCTCCGAGGGTCCTGTGCTCCAGCCACACGCCTTCCTGGACCTCTTCATGCCCTTTGTCCTCAAGGAGCCCGGGCATCTGCTCATCTCCCCTGTGCCTCCCTCTCTGCACTCCCTTGTTCGCTTTCTTCTCCTCTCGATGTCATAGCCCCACCACCGTGGTTAGGGACCGTGCT